GTGTATGAGTTTTCAATACTCCTCAGTATCAGAAAAGGAGCCAATAACGATACAATGGTAACAGATTTCCTTGTAACTGGAAAAGGACTCTCTGACAACAGTTACTTATGAAAAAACTTACAATGAATCGTACGTAGTGAATTGCATGCACTATGAATAGGCGACTATCATCGAATAGGTTAGCTACGGTATTTTTTCCAGTGTTGTCAATATTTTGCTGAATAATGGTTAAAGGCAAATATTTCTTTAACAATGCGTTTCGTTGGCATATCAGTTATCAATAATGCTATCACTGGACGATTAAAACAAGTTGGCAGTGAAAGTTTTACTCTCGCCTTTGCCTGATTCCCTCTGTTCTGAATAAGCAAAACGGTTGCAGTGTTTGTTGTAGCTGTCGTTTCAGTTGTTCTCGATGTGTCACGCAATTTGCTCACATATGTCTTTCGTCTATGCTGTAAAGCCAGATTCTTCACTGCATTTCCTAGCGGTGAAGTTCATGGTGCATGAATACTCACATCTAAGTAGGTTCATCCTGTTTGACGGTCAAAAGCTGTCCCGTATTCACCACCATGGTCTCAGAGCGTCGGAAACTAAGTGATACGCTGGAACGACCGACTCAAGGGAGTAAACAAGTAAACAGTAAATATGTTTTTATGCGGTTGTTTCTCTGTTATTGTTATTCTGATCTTCAGTAGTTTCGCAAACCTGATTATAGCTCAGATTGAGGTTAAATTGATGTCCACAGTGGGCAGAACATTTTTTCACGTGACTTGTTCTTTTGTGAGGTGGACGAATGTAAGTCGATGCTCCTTCAAATTGTTCTCATCCTGAGCATTTTCGGCAAATGACTGCTCAGGGGTCCATTGGGTTTAAGGCTTGGTAAACTATTTCTGCCATCTTCCCAATTCTTATCCCTCCTGGCAGGTTCAGAGAAGAGGAGGAGTTTTATGAAACTTCGTTCGCCAGAGAGATATCATTGGTCAGTGGTGAGCAACACCACTATCTCAACCTACCGGAGTTGGCTCCTACACAACTTACATCCCTTCACCTTAATATCAGGGGTATGTTTGTTGATGTCAGGCGTGATAATATTTCAACCATATAAATTCATATGGTTGGTCGCCCATATTTAAACGTTGATTACTTATTACTTCAATTATTCATGGATGTAGAAAGATTTTGTTCGTCATAATAGCTTTCATTGATATGAATTTCATTGAAAAGATTACTAACGTTTCGAATGGAGCTGAACTGATCTTCAGGAGACGTCGTTCAAGTGCAGTAGGTAATAAGTGCAATACACAATGCCGTCATATACTGTTACACAATAGATCGGCGAATTGTTGATACGTACTACAGTTCAAGTTGGTATGCTTATGTGTCAGTCAGTCTGTTCAGGTGATACTATATCATTTTATTTTTTCATAATAGTCACAAGTCATATTCATCGTCTCCGGTAAGTTGTACGTATGCCGGTATTGCACTTCTTTGACGTTTTGTTTCCGGCAGGCTCTTTCCCTCCATGTCCATTTCATGCTTTTCCAGTGATGGACAATCTTTCATCGTATGTTCGATTTCGATCAGCATGGTTCTTCTTTCGCATTCGACGTTTATTTCCCTCATGTCCTCCGTCTGACCATGATTTTGTGCTCGTTTTCCTTGCTTAACATTGTTGTATCATGTGGAACGCAGAAGTGATGATTTTTCTTCGTGTCTTAAAGCCTGTCTCCGTTTTCCTCAGCATTCACGTATCTGATTGGAGGATGAATCATTGCTGTCATTCTCCTGGTCGAAACGGTAATGATCAGGAAAACTCATACCTCCATGTGTGACCTGTAATGAAATTTGGCTGTTGTTTGTTTCGCGGACAACTGTGGGCTGTGACAACGATTAAACTATTCGTCCCGAAAAGAATGATATATGCGAATTGGCGTTGGAAGTCCTATTGATGTCCAACTACGGACTCGAAAGGATTGCCCACCCCCATTCCTCTTAAGACATGCTGTCTCAAATAAGGTTATGTGTCTGTTTTCGAATAATGCTAATTTTATACCTTTTCCTGCAGAGTTAATAACATCTAAACTTGATGTATAGTAAGTTTCATGCTCGCTCCAAGATGGAGGACAGAAATATCTGTCGAATCACATATTCACTTTCACGCTGGCGCAGATGAACACAGAGAGGTCACGAGGAACTGAAACGCTGACCATTCGAAGATATTGCCCACGACCTAAAAAGCACTTATGCTATTTAAGCAGAGTAATGTCCAGCATAAAAAGAAGCTTTCTATCAGGAATACGCACTCAATTAAAGCAGTACGTATAGGAGCTGCGCTTTTGCCCATGACATTCATTTTGGTCGCATGAGGTTTGATTGATTGCCTCATTGTGCAACTAAATGCCAACTGACCTAAGTACTTGTCTATTTATTGTTGCTCCCACAACTATGGCCCATGCCAGCTTATTCGAAACGTTGGATCTGTCAACATTTTCCTGCTTATTTATCTTCTGCAAACCTTGGAATCAGAAATATCATCTTTGAACAATTAGGGCCATGTATCGATATAAGTTGAGGAGAATATTTTGTGCCGTTGAATTCCGCTGTAGATTTCCCAAGGTCCATCACGTCCAGCTTTGATGAATGAGCTGCTCATTGTCATGTTGCGTGCATCTTCACATGACCCTTAGACACTGAAGGCAAGCAACTGCAATTAAATAGAAGTGGAATGCAAAACAAGGTACAAAAATAATTCGACGTCAACGCCTTTCAACACTTTATTATGAAAGCCTGCTTTGTGTTGAAAAGCACCACTTTTGGATGTGCTGTAAGACGGGTAGTGAAACGTCTGTAGAAGGAACCAGATGAACTAGATGGCCATGAAGCATCGAAGAGTCGTTCTCGCTCAGCACGTAGCCTCTTTCTCGACATTCCAGATCACAGGGTGGTCTATAACTCTGTGGAATGCCGGTCGTCGACGATATCCAAGTGATGAGTTTCGTCGAGGTCAGATCCGAAGCCCAGCATGGCTGCCCGTGGCGTCGGGGCAGCTTCGCGTGCCTTAAGCCTTTGTTCGTCCGTTGCGAGCCTGCCGACCGGCTTGAGTGTTTGTCTTTGCCGAAGGGCGGCCGACACCTCGTCGGCGAAGTGAGGCGCGGCCACGGTTTTGTCGATCAGACTCGACAGCTCGGCGATCTTCGGCCACGGTCGGCCCTTGCGCTCCTGCACCAGCACCTCGATGCCGTAAAACCTCTGCCAGAGCATGGCGACCAAGTCACTGCTGAAAATGATGCCCGAGTGCAGGTTGATCAGTCGCAGCACGAAAACGCCGTCGATTCTCAAATAACTCGCTACGAACCGTTCAACGTCCTTCGCGCTTTCCTTCCTGTCAAACGGAAGCTCTGAAAGTTCAAGATTCCGTTCAACGAACCAGCGCTGCATGAAAGGCAAGAAACTTACGACCGCCCAGTACAGAGCGCTGGACGCCGTGATTAGCGATAGACAATGATACCAGAACCAGAGGAAAAGAAAGATCTTCTCGTTGAAGATGTTGATCACCAGCACACACTGCACTGTGTAGTGCTGAATATTGCCCATCACGCGCACCTGAAACACACTCGGTTGTAGAAATCCAGCCTGAAGTTCACTCTTTATAATTGCATGATAAATTTGCAGCTTTTTTTCATTTCTCATATCTGAAATGAAATAACTTGAGAAAATCTATTTACACGGCAATTCCGCCGTTTCTGATCCCAAGCCAGAATGAAACAAGGGGAGGTTTGGAACCGTTGCAAGGTCTGCAGCAAAACTCATCCACCACCTCATTCCCTCATGGTGATGCCGTTATCATGAAGTCGCTGGATTAGTTGCGAAACGCCGTGCAAGTTATTGGAAAACTGAGGCGAGCTGCAAAAAATCACTGGACAGAACCTGCTTCATACTTTCTGACAGATCATGGTCTAGCAGGACGGCAATGGCTGCACAGAATCAACAACAAGAAGACGAATGTTCCAGTTAGCAACGCAGCAGCTACCCGCTCTGAACGGAGAAGGCGTACTGCACGATGGCATTATGGCACATCACATATATATTCGACGGGAACGAGACCGACAGTGGGAACTCTCAGGCCGAAGTTAGAACATCTCCTAATTCAGAGGCAAAGAGCAGGAGCTAGTTGATGAGGCCGTAATCTACCAACTGGACATAGCTTGACTATCGTCATCGAAGCGCCAGGACTCTGGAAATCTGAACCCCTATAGACAGAAGCTATTCTACTCAGGTGTCGTCATCAGGGCACGTGCCAAGGCCGGCGTTGGTGTTTTAGTAAAACCCAATCTGGCTAAAAGAATCACTGAATGGAAAACTGTCCACGGAAGAGTGGCAGCCTTCCTACTGAAGCTACAGCAGACTAAAGCTTTGACGTTCTTATAAATATGTGGGTTTTATTTGCAGATACAATTTGGCCATTTCTGCTGAAACTGGATAGTGCTCTATAGGAAATGTCACCTAAAGGATTTGCCTTCTCATGCTTGATTTCAATGCACATGTCAGAGCAGAGATTGCAAAGTAAAAAGGCGTGATTGGAAGGAACGGCCTTAGTGACCCTAACAATTAAAGCCTCAATTCGTTACGGTTTTGTGCAAACAACGGATTGTCTATTATGAACACCTTCTTCCAGCATGGAAAAGTGCATCACTACACCTGGTACCGGGAAGCTTGTGCACAGAAGTCGATGATCGATTTGATAATCGTATCGTCTGACCTAAGAAGATCAGTAATGGATGTTCGCGCGTTTAGAGAGGCACAGAGTTGTCAACCAATCATTACTGTTTGACCCTCTGCTGTAAATTAAGGAACACCGTGGGAAGAACTGGTGGTAGAAGCAACCAGAAAATCAGATGGAAAACTACTTTTTGCGGATACGATCCAAAACTCCTTTACGTCCGGCAATAGCAGGAAGACTCGTCTGAAGAACAGCAGGCAGCGCATATTAGTTTTACTGTAGATGAGACTACATAAGCTACCAAAAGCTTAAAAAAATAGGTATGGTTTTTGAATCGATGATATCCACCATGAAAATAATTAAGTTTTAGGCAGACAATTCATGTTGCGGCTAACACCAATCTGTCAAATTGCAATGGCTGTGAAAAAGACACCACTGGACTAAAGACTGGGAACTGCGGTGCTCAAATCATTGGGAGATTATACTTTTGAGCCCACTGGGAAAAGTCTAGGCAAAGATGTTGGAGAATTGACGCGGTGCACCATCTGCTTCCTCGAGACAAGAAGATCAGTCTGGTTTCATCAAATCAAGCTAAAGCATTTCTCAGCACACTGTTGAGAAATTTTTGCAGTTCATTTCTGGTTTACGTGTGCTTTATTGATCTAACCTATGACCGCATCCAACGCAACAGTCTGTGGACGTGCCTTCGAGCATGCAGGATAGATGGCCAGCTACTAACGGCCATCCAATCAATGTATTCTGACAGCAGGTGGTATCAAGTCGAAGGCTGTCAGGGTTGACACTCGTCTCCGCCAAGGCTGCGTCCTGTCCCCTATCCTGTTTGTGTTGTACATGGATAGAATAGTCAGAAGCTG